GTGGCTCGCTAAGGCTTTACCTCGGCTGACCGTTTGGATGAATAAAGCTGCGCTATCTGCAATGAAATAATGTGTATTCCTAGAAATACAGTATATTCAAATTGGAAATAATTGCTGGCCAACTAAAAGATGTGTAACTTCGACGGATCTTTGTATATTTTGTTTTTGTCATGCTGGGCATAATCTCCAAAACAGAACTTGTCGAGATTCAGTCTCAATCACGAAGAGAACTTGTCCACAATTATCTACCGATGATGGATGAACTGAACATGAAATATCATCCGCATACATTACTGGCTTGATAAAATCATTATAGAAAGTAATGCCTTCAATAGCAGAATTACGTTACGGATCATAATTTCAAGCAGGTCAATGGCTGAAACGAATAGGTAGAGAGATAAAGGCAGGCACTGTGCCAGGCTGTGAAACATTTTGTATGGCCGTAGTAAGAAGACGGTAAAGTGGGTTTCCAAACAAATGTATTTGTAAATTATTGGCGTTGGTGAAATTACAGAGAGAGCTATAAAAAATGTTTATTTGTAAATTGTACACTGTCCCAAATGTGTCTAACATTGATGAAGTAAAACTGTTGTTCATTATGTCACACGAGTCTTTACCACCTACACGTGACTCACTACCCATTCAAACGAGCACACTATCTGGCATCCGTGTGGAGGCAATCTCGGCTGAATTCCCCTTCTGTCAAATTACCTGCCTTGGAATCAATGGGATGGAAAATACAAGTAGATGTATCGTTATCAATCTTCAGGTTTTTCCCACCGGTTCCATAGTTCTGTACTGAATTGGTATCTTGCACTAGCAAAACCGGATACAGAAACTTGCACTATAAATGCAGAAAGTACAACCTTCCATGCACAGGAGCATGTAATTGGTCTGATAGAGGTTGTTAGACTATTCTAGAAAAAACACATCTGATACAAAAACAGCGTTCACGGATTTGACCAACATGCAATACTACAGCTTACAAATGTATTGAAAAATTACAGAACAAGAAACCATACTTTGCCACAAGGCAATTCTTTATTACACGTTCTCTTTTGATTTGTTCAAATATTGCAATAGATTGAGACTCTGCAGTGCAATTGCTCTGCCAATGTGATAGTATTACTCCTTCAGTACCTTCAGTCCCCACTTCCAAAACATCCAAAATGCGGAATAGATACCCTTTATAGAGAAGATTTCTGTGATTCGGACCATTTGAACATTACCTTTTTGGTTTTAAGGGAGTATTGCCAGCTGCACGTGTATAATGTAAACCCTATTGACACTGAAGCCTGAAAACAGATTCAAGACTCAATGGCTAAAAAAACGAACACTATTTAGTGACACATCCCTACGTGAGGTAACCCACCGACCCCATCCACTGGAACCATGGAATGATTCCCTGTCAATTTCCTGACATCTGAGTGTCAACGTTTGACAATTTTTACATTTTGATTTTAAATTATTTTTCGAAACAGTGTGCCAGGATATTTTATATGTTCCAGATATTTATAGTATATCAGTATAATGTACTATTTTTGTCAGTTTCAATGCTCTTTACTTCTGCGTTTGCTTGACAACCTGCATCAGAAATGCTTTGCTATTTTACACGTAGTCACATGTACCGTATGTGACACTATTATCAAATATGTTTATTTCGTGACAACAAATTTAGATTTAATTTTATTGAATATTGTTATTTATTAACAAATTCTGTAGTATTGTGATAGAACATTGCCACCACAGCGCTCTGGATTCTTTCAGATTTTTTTTAGTGAATAAATTTGTTCATTCATTCATTCAAACAAAAATAAATGTTTAATATTAATATGATATTCTGGTTTCAAAGAAACATGTCACAAACCGATAATACCAGTAAATATAATTCACTCTCATGCATTAGCATATTTTAAAAGAAATTTGAAGGTGACCCTGGTCTAAATCTAAAAAAAAAATATACTCCAATTTTACTGACATTTTACCACGTTTGAATACGATTTTCAATTCTTTTTTCGGATATCTTTATTATCCAACCTTAGTATTTTCAAGCAGTTTAGTTCAAGCTGCTGAATCAATACTTAGAGT